ATTGACAAGAAATACAGTGAGATAACATTTGCTTGCCTTTATACTCACAACTAGATGAAGTATGCTTAGGTTATGCTTCAATCATTACCATGACATTTACAGTGTGAATGATGGGTTGTTGCAGGGAGAATGAAGAGTGAATGCCTTTTTTTTAAAAAAAAAAAAAGGTTAAGAGTAAAATGGAAAGTTAAATTCTGTTATCCTCTAGCTATAACTCAGGAACTGGAATAAGTTACGGTCCTGTGCTCGTAATTCTTATCAGTAAGAGGTGTTACAAACCTATTTTAAGTAGAGGATTGACAAGAAATACAGTGAGATAACATTTGTTATCTCAGTAGAGGGAGAGAAGGGGAGGATCTAAACCTCACTCAAGAATGCTTTTAGTGAAGTATGTAGATTTGCAAACCAGGAAGCTTCCTGTTCCTTTAAAAGGAATGACCTTTTGGAGATGGATTACGTATTTCATCAATGTTTATCTGGATTTGATTTTAAAAGAAAAAAATCTGATCCAACATAACAAAACTTAATCTTCAGAAACATTTGCAGAAGAGCTCAAAGGTATCTGGCATTAGCACACAAGTTATTTCAGCTTTTTGTGTTCTTCACAGGGTGGCAAGCATTTGTGCGAGTTTACTTACTGAAACTTTTGGAATGAGTTAATAAGCTAATGTATTGAGAAAAATAAATGGTAATTGAAGTCAGTTTACTCCTAAAGCAGGTGGTTTTTGTTTGTTTGTTTTTTTTCACTCCTTAGGAACTTAAGAAATATGGTGTTACCACAGTGGTAAGAGTGTGTGAAGCTACTTACGACACTGCTCCGGTGGAAAAAGAAGGCATTCAGGTTTTGGTAAGTAGTGTAGACGCAGAGCTTAAAACCAACCCATTCCCTCAACCTTCTCCCAAAAAATTTCTTTTGACACCACCTTACTAACTCTACAGGTGTATTCCGGCAGCTGACGGGGGCAAAAGATGTACAGACATCCTCTCTTGTCAGGAAAAATATTTGGTTTTAAGCAAAATCAGTTGGTCAATAAAAACAGATTGAAAGGAATATATTCCTAATATTGCTATAGTTATACTACTGGAAAACCATAAGCTTGAGTGGTTCCTTTAGCTGTCAGCTCTTTGTTCATTGTGTCCCCTACTTTTTTTGTATGCACACAGCATACAGAGATAGAGTTCTATCTTTATTCATGTATTTATTCATGTGTGTCGTGCTATGTTCTAGGATTGGCCCTTTGATGATGGTGCTCCACCATCCAACCAGATTGTTGATGATTGGCTAAACCTCCTTAAAGTTAAATTTCGTGAAGAACCTGGTTGTTGCATTGCTGTACACTGTGTTGCTGGTCTTGGAAGGTGGGTAAAGTTTTAAAGATGTGTTGAATTACTTAACCCTGAGTCAGACTTGCTGAGATGTAGTACAAAAGTTTATTCGAGGCAGATGTAAAATAGTTACATTTCCATTATTGGAATCACACTTAAAAGTAGTTCAGATGGCATGAAACTATCGTATGCATGTGTTGGATATAAATGCCTTTTAGTCAACAGATTATGCTGTTATCACAGCTCTTGCACAAAAACCACTAAGTGAAGTAAATACGCTCTTGTACCAAGCACGTTGATGAGTGTCTCATTGATATTTTTTGTTTTGCTAAATCTTTTTTTTTCTCCTAATGGGTTTGGTTTTTAGTGACTCACCTGTAAATTTCCTCTTCATCCCTATTTCAGCAGTATTGCCAGTCTAATTGTACCAAGGGTATTGTAACCATTAGCCACAAACAAGTGAGGTGTTCTGGCACGTCAAGACCAACTTGAATCCCCTTTGGGGGATGAACAGTGTTCTCCAAAGTCCCAAAGCTCTGTTTCTGTCTCACAACACTGAGCCTCAAAATTTTCATGGATAATGCTGAATATTCTCCTTTCCTTCTGTCTGCTGCCACTATCTTAAATACAATTCCAACAGTTGTGAGAGCATAATGGTTCTGCTGCTATTGCTCTAGACTACCTGGAAACTAGATCTGTTCAAAAAGCAGTTGCCGTTTTCTAGGCATGCATTTCAGCATTTCCAATATAAAATGGAGGATTGTGGTCTTCCTGTCGTAAACCTGGCTGTTCCTCTGTGTTATGGCTTCACTTGCAACAAAGGTGACTGTAGTGGTGAACGCTATCAAAACAAGTTCTCTTCAGCTGCTTACAATGATATCTATTGGCTTTTTCCTCAAAATCTGGCAGTTAGCTAGTTGAAGAGAAGATCCTGGCTTTTTGTCACGTAAGGTTTTTTTAAATCCCTGAACATACAGAACCCCTTAAGCTTGCTACTAGATGCAGAAGTCTGTTGCTAGTATATGGCATGGGGTTTTGTCTTGTTGTTTTACTTGGGTTGTTGGTTTGTTTTTTTTCGCCATACATTGGTAATTTGAGTTTGTGTCAAGCTTTCCTAACGAAAAACTGTGTTCTATCAGATGAAGAATACTGTGGCAATCAAGAAAATCCTTGGGGGTAGGCAGCAGCCTATGGACTGCATCTGTTCTTAAAACTCGTGATACTAGTTCTAGGATTTGTCAGCTCTTTTTGGACCTAACCCCTCTTCTGATTTCTGCTTTGGGCTCCTGACTGCTTCTAAGGATGCTTGTCTGTAGGAATAGAAACCCTATGCAGCTCTTCCCCAGAATCAATTTGCTTTGAAACAAATGGGTAAAGATTACTTGCATTTTTTCCTGCTGTCCTCTGCTATACCTAAAGTCAGGTGAACAAAGCTAAGGTTTACCAGAGTTAATTTAAACTCCCTTCTTAATGAGAGTGGGTAGCTCAAAAGCAGATGGTGTGATGGCTCAGTTAATGCAGAAATGCCTTCTGCTTGTCTTTTTTGCTTCCCCGGGGGAAGAAACATCAGATAGACACAGAAGGACAGAAAAGAGAAATGGGGAAAGTAAACTTTCTTCTAAGTATGCAGTGGGAGATGCTAAACTGATGTATTATTTTTTTTAACCAGAGCTCCAGTCTTAGTGGCTCTTGCACTGATAGAATGTGGAATGAAGTATGAAGATGCAGTGCAGTTCATAAGACAGTAAGTATGAAGCTAACATCTAGCTGTTTCCGAGATTTAACACATTGATATATCCTTGGGCACTAAAGGAAATTCTGAATGCTTCTTGTCTTTTACTCTTTTTTTCTTTTTCTAAGATATTTAGTACATCTGAACTTTTTAACACACATACTGCATACAGTCAGTGTTGTAGGACTTGGCCTGTGGAATGGCTATTTTCTGTTTCTGTGGAAACCAGAATCAGTAAGTAATTATTTGAGCAAATCAACAAAAAAAAAAAAAAAACAAACAAAAACAAACCACCACTATAAAGTTTCAGTTAGATCTGCAGGGTTGTCTTTACTATTTCTACATATTAAATACAGAATATTTTTGAAATTTAGATTCTGTTTGGTAGCTAGAGCTAACACTCATTCATGTTTGTGGATCATTTCTTCTGTATTAGATCAAAGTGTGCTAAGCAGTTCCCCCTAGTCTTCTCTGGTAGTCTACCAAAGAAAAAATATTTCCTTGGATTTTTTTATAAGTATACGTAAGTTGGATGGGAATGATTTTAGTCTCAATGTCTCAACTTTGCAGGTTTCAACTATGTTTAAAAGAAGCTGCAGCTGATATAAACAATACCAAAATACTTCTTGCATAACTGCCAAGCCTTTAAAGCATTAAATTCAACTTGTACATCTTAACAGGCTGGTATATATAAAGTGAGGAATAGCAAGCCAGGTACATATTCCAAACACTCAACAAAAACGTACATCTCTTTCACACACTTCTGATTTGAGAAATCAAGAAAGCTCAATTTCTGTTCAACTTTTTATTACGGGAGTGAAAATGTTTATGTACTTTCTTAATATTGTGCTATTCTTTCTAAGTATTTTAAGAGACTGAGTAACTTCAGCTTTCTTGAAAAGACTGTATCACATCTGCTCTACAGCTTCCTTTTGAAGTTTCTTCTAAAGATTTTAATGTAAGATCTCTGGCTTGTGTATATCGGGAGCTAAAACACTAAAGTTTTAGGTACTCCTTTGAGCATGTGATCCAATGAGGTACTTATGAAAGGAAGCTACCACCCTCTTTCCTGGTAGTTATCTTGTAATTACCTTTATTTTGGTTACGATCTTGCCTTAATCGTGATTATTTTTTTTTTTAAGTGACCTGAAAATATTTTTCTCTGGTCGGTGATATTATTTCACTGGGCAGTAGATTAATGTTCTGTTTAAAATGCTTTTTCCTCCTTCTAGGAAGCGGCGTGGAGCTTTTAACAGCAAGCAACTTCTGTACTTGGAGAAATACCGCCCCAAGATGCGTCTGCGTTTTAAAGACTCCAATGGTCACCGAAATAATTGTTGTATTCAGTAAAGCTCAACAGCCTATAGTACTTCTTTGGGATTAAAGGATGGAAACTAGAATTAAGCAGACTGCATGCCAAAGACATGAGTCTGATATTTTTTAGTAGTAAAGGAAGCTTCCTTAGGAGTATTTAATAGGCTAAAGGCTTAGTAGAAACCAACTTTAAATAAATATCCATCTGTTTGGAGACCCAGTAAATGTTTTTGCTGTACCCTGTTTCTGAGCTGTCTCCTTCTTCATTAATCACCAGTTCAAATACCCTTTAACCATGCCATTGGGTCTAGTTTCAACTACTAAAAATTGGGGTACTAAAATAAGTCAATCTGTAGAGAGATTAGGTGCCAAAACACTCAGCATATCAGCTACATGTTTTTCCTTATAAATGAGCATAGTTCTGATGACGTGAGAACTACCAGCTTATCTGGACCTTACTATCTTTTTTCTTATGGTCATTTCAATATTGAAGAATATGGCCTCTAAGATAGTCTTGCCTGCTCACTGTATGTTTTGTCTCCCACAATCGCACTAGAATTACCAGGATTTGCACAGTCTGTCTTTTTAATACTATGAATTACAGCAACTTTTTACCCCAGTGTCTGTACTTTTCTGTTATCCAAACCTCTCCATTTTACAAATCATTACTCTCTGGTTACTCATGTAGAAAATCTTTTAAATTGTACAGAAGCACACAAGTCTTTAATGTCTCCAGACAAAAAGCCTTACAGTAAAATTAATGTTGGCACTTCATGTGCAACTTAACAGAGGGCCTGAAAAGGTTGGGAGGGGCTATTTAATATTTCTAGTAAAATGTTGCCTTTGTCTTGTGCAGGAAGTATAGAATATGCCCTTTACTTCAGTAAATATTTTTTTAAAATGTAGAAATGCTTTGTTATTGTAGCTAAAAATTCTTAATCAGAAAATTTCTGAAAATTCTTGTAGTTTTCTTTTACTGTACCTATTGAAAGTTGTTTACCAACTATTGCTTTGTTGAAAGTGTGATTATTTTTTTCTTTTGTTTTTCTTCCTTGAGTTTCTGCTATGACTTGGGCAGACCTCTGTAATATTTTGTATGCCTTTCAAGCTGCGTAACTTAATATTTGGATACTTGATAATTTGTTTTATTATGTAATTGATAAAATGGTGATGTGTATTAATGTTAGTTTAACCATATATTTATACTGTCTTGGGAATGTGTGGTTATAGTTCTGTGGGAGAAATAATTTTGCCAGTGTTCACCAGCTTGTAAAATCTAGTGCGAGAGCTTAAACATCTAAATAAATACTGAAATGCACTTAACGAAGTTTGCTGAAACGCTCATGACTTTCACTTATTTTTGTGTACTTTGTCAGCAATCTTGAGGAGCCTAAATTCAGAATCTATACAGGCATCTGTTTTCTTTTTTTAAATCTGGGCCTGAATGTCCCCTTTGCTGTAGTGTTTGCTGTTTGTTTTACTCATAAATAAATGTGGACAAAAATTAATAGCAGAAAGTACGGCATTTCTTTATGTAGCTTACTTGTGACTTCTCAGTACTAAAATAGGGTACTAGCCTAGTGTTCTTGGAACTCTTTTTGCAGTACAGAAGTACACTTAGCTGTAAAGCTTGGAGAACACTTGTATTGGTAGCACTAGAATTTAATTAAAAAATAGGATGATACAATGCTTCATTGTCGAGACTGAAGCTATGTCCAAACAGAAGATAGCTCACATAATTTTTCAGCTAAGATCTGTGCAAACTGGAGTTCCCAGAGAGTGGTGACCAAACTTCCTGAGGAAAAGATCAAAGATGCTTTTAGTACCCAGCTGAGGTGCTGTTCTTACTGGGGAGTATAAGCTCAGGCCCATGTCTGCTTAAAATTAAGCTATGGTTAAATGTATCTTGCCTTTCTAAATGGTGAGGTGGGATGCTATATACAACGTAAGCGTCAATGAGACTTCTGAAGGATTGCTTTTGGAAAGGTACAGTCTTACTATGAAGAGCACTTTTAACTTCTGCATAATTTAAAAATGCCTGAAACAATATAATTGAGCTTTAATCTGTAAAGAAGTAAAATAAACTCTTCACTAGTTCATCTTTCCTCTGGATGTTAAATTTGGATTTCGATTAAAGGAATACAGCTTCATTTGGCTGAGGAAATAAGGCCTTTTCTTTTGCAGTGACATCCAAAGGCATCGATGTTTCTATTGTCAAGACAGACTAGGCTTTAGGAACAACTGCAAAGACAAAACCTACAAAAATTCTGTAACTCAGCAGTTCAGTGGGCTGACACAAGTGATAGAATCATTTGACTTGGAAAAGGACCTTGAAGATTACTGAGTCCAAATGTTAATCTAACACTGCCAAGTCCACCACTGAACCATGTCCTGAAGCACCACATCTACATCTCTTTTAAATATCTCCAAGGATGGTGACTCCACCACTTCCCTGGGCAGCCTGTTCCAATGCTTGACAACCTTTTCAGCGAAGAAATTTTTCCTAATATCCAATCTAAATCTCTCCTGGTGTAACTTGAGGTCATTTTCTCCTGTCATATCGCTTGCTATTTGAGAGAAGAGACCGGCACCCAGCTCACTACAACCTCATTTCAAGTAGTTGTTTAACACAGATTAACATCCAAATAGACTTAAAAATGTTAATTTGGTCACTAGTGGAAACAGGAGGAATCTGTAAAACAACTACTGGTAAAATGCCTGTGATTTTTTTTACTTCTTTAAAATTCTTAGTGCAATTTCTGTACATACATCAGATTTTGGTGTGTCTCCACAGGATTTACACAGGTAGGGAGGGCTGTGTTTAGGTGAGGAGCTCTAACAATGTTAGTGATGGGACCTTGGTCCTTTGAACTCTCAATTTGAGACTGGGCTTGACTTTAGTTGGTTTGAGTAAACTGAGATTTCTAAAGAGGAAGAATTTTTGCATAATGAGCATGCATCTGTTTAAACCAAAGATCAAGTCAACTCCTGAACTGTTTCCACGTTTAGACATGAATCCCTAAGGAACAGAAAACATCTTTTCTCTAACAACTCTTGTAGGTTTTAGGCACTAAAATGTTGACCATATTCAAAATATGAAGATAAACTAGTGGACAGAAGTACATAAAGCAAGTTAAATAAAGTTCTATGCAATTTACATGAACTTGCAAATAATAGAGAAGAAAAGCTTAAATGGAATTACTATATCTTCACTTAAGGCTAAAGCTCCACATGGAAGACGGGCTCTACTGTTTAATTTTAGATGCTCAGAATTACCATATAACTACTTCGTCCTTTCTTCAAGAGTTATGTTGGGGCAGTACGTAATTACGTGATAGCACATTCTTGTCTCCTAGACTACATTTTGTGCTGTGGACCTAATGACTTGGGTGAGTATGGTTTGTAAACGGTGGTGGTATGTATAGGGTTCCTTAGTGTGTAGCAAAAGTTAAATATGGGAAACGGAGAGAGGGAGTGCATAATCTTGCAATTATTGCAGCAGAAAACTGATGGGTTCTCTATATTGTTCAGTCATGTAGTCCCTGAATAATGCTGAGAAAAGATAGTCAGACAAGATATTCTGTAACTGGATATCCAAAATCTGTGTCGTGGTTTAGCCTGGCTGGCAAATAAATGCCCCACCCCTGGGGAATGGAGAAAAGAATTACAAGGGGAAAAGGGAAGGAGACTTGTGAGTTAAGAACAAAATAATAATTTAAAAGTAATAATTATAATAATAATATATATAAACAAGGGATGCACAGTGTAATTGTTCACCATCCGGTGACCGATGCCTGTCCTGG